ATCCATTTCTACACCTTTTGAATGTGATGTTACATGTATACAACATTCCAAACCTGACACTCCGTGAAACCACAGGGCCTCATTAGAAGGAATATAGGTTTTTAAAAAGCAGAGAATAGCCAGACGTGGTGGCTCACGCCTGTAATCCCAGCACTTTGGGAGGCCAAGGCAGGCGTATCATGAGGTCAGAAGTTCGAGACCATCCTGGCCAACATGGTGAAACCCCGTCTTTAATTAAAAAATAAATAAAATTAAAAGCAGAGAATATTGAATCTATGAATAAAAGAGAAAGGAACTGCAATTAGATAGAAATGCTGAAAAGAATGTATTGCTCATTTACTTTTGCAAACAGCTCTATCCATTCAACGCGGGTTCGCAGCTGAAAGCACCGGTATTTCAGGCTCTGTCATCAGGCCCAGCCCACTGCTGGCTGCGGTCCCCAGGGAGCGTCTGCACCTCGTCCACTCCTGGAATTCCCCCCAAGAGAAAACGTAACACGGGCATATCAACCTGCACAGGAGTGTTTAGGCCTATTCCTCATTACCAATAACCAGATGAGAACAAAGTGTCTATTGGCAGAAAGTGTCAACCAATGTGATACTTCCATTCTCTTTAAAATCTTATATTGCTATATAGAGTTACAATTTTAAATTTATGACTAAATTTAATTGGTCAATATTTTCTTTTATGAATCATGCTTTTGGTGCCAGGTCTAAGAACTTTCCACCAAACCCGAGGCTGTGCAAATTTTCCCGTTTTTATCTAAAGGTTTTATAGCGTCATGTTCTAAGTTTAGGCCTGTGACTAATGTCGAGTAGCGTTTTGTATCAGCTGTGGCTGTATCAGCCTTCATCTCTGACAGTATCCTGGGCATTTCTGCTGTCTGCACCCTGTGCTCTTCCTGTGAGTTTCAGGGGATGTCTTAGAGCTGGCACTGTCCTGGTCCATCAGAGGTCCTGTGGGCTTGCCCACGTGGGAAAGTCAGGACTGTGATGTTGACAGGACGCCTTGAGTCAGGAAGGTGCTGACGGGGGTTTCCATGTAGCAGAGAGAGGTGTTTGGTTTTACGGATGTGGCAGACTTGGGAGGGGACGAACTTGAGAAACACCATGGATGAGAGGCCCAGGCAGAGCAGGTCTCGGGCTGCCCTGCTGTGTGAGCGCCAAACGTGGATGTGTCAGTGGCCACACCAGGAGGGAACCCTCAACCACAGGCCTCTGGGTGTCCAGGCCAAGTCTTGTTCAAGAGGTGCATTCAGCTGAGCCAGCCATGGCAGAAATACGTAAGGGCGACCCCATGGTTCCTCTGGTTCAATCCACTGCTAATCCCACCCTACTCAGAGAGGGAGCCAAGTCCTCACAGCAGCCTGCAAGCCCCGCCTGCCTGCCCCGGTGGCTCATGCCTGTAATCCCAACCCTTTGGGAGGCTGAGGCAGGCAGATCACCTGAGGTCAGGAGTTTGAGACCAGTCTGGCCAGCATGGTGAAACCCTGTTTCTAGTAAAAATACAAAAATTAGCTGGGCATTGTGGCACATGCCTGTAATTCCAGGTACTCGGGAGGCTGAGGCAGGAGAATCACTTAAACCCAGAGGGCAGAGGTTGAAGTGAGCTAAGATTGTGCCACTGCACTCCAGCCTGGGCGACAAAGCAAAACTCCATCTTAAAAACATAACAATAGTAGTAATAAAAGAAAAAGGCAAAAATTTAAACAAGTAAACGGAAACATGGCAAAAGAGTTGAATCAGCCCCTCACAGAAGAAAAAATTGTGGAGGAATGGCCGATAAAAACATGAAGAGGGTCTCAGCCTAACAGGGTGAGATACCAGGTGACACCCGGCAGACTGGCAAAAATCCCACAATCAGTGCAAGTGTTGGGGAGAATGGAGAGCCACAGGAACGCTCAGCCACCACTAAAAATGATTGTGAATTATTTTTGCTATGCTTGCTTATGAAAGTGTGTGTGTCGTGGGTTATGAGGGAAGTTACATTTCTTACTGGGATGAAATTTTTAAAATCTAATGCTACTGACCAGAAGCAGCTGCCTAAGAACCTTCACAGTAACACAGTCCTAGGGGCCCACCGGGCCAAACACTCATCAGCAGGAAAATGAAGACATTTCCCACGGTCCCCTCCACCATAAGAGATCACGCAGCAATGAAAATGAATCAGGTCAGTGTGGACGGGTCTCAGGAAGAGAAGGGAGAATGAAAATAGACATGGAGAAAATGCTCAGAGCCAGTGCAGCAGAGAAGCAGCCACACAGGAGACTTCTTCACATCAAAGTTCAAAACTGCAGCCAAGGCAACAGAGCAAGACCCTGTCTCAAAAAGACAACAGAGTGTTCAAAAACCACAGGCAGTATTGTTTAGGATGCGCACAAATGCAGGGAAAGAAACGCGCTACGAAGAAAAGTACAGGAATGATAAAGACTAAAGTAGAAAGTGACTCCCTCTGAAGGAGAAGGGAAGGGACTGGGATTTGGGAGGGGCCTCCAGGGAGCATCCAAAGTTTGGTTTCTTCAGATTCTATTCCCTAAACTTGGTGGAGGTCCCGTGTGTCCAATGTGTGAACATTCCTTATACCTGACCCATATTATACAAGTGCTTATTTCCTGTGCAGTATTGAAAAGACAGGTATAAACAAGGTGCATTAAAGAGCAAGATGGCAGATGAGCAGGAAGGAACCTCAAGCACATCCGAGATGTTCCACCCACGGAACCTCACCATGGATACCCTTGTGCTCACAGGCCTGGCCTCCCCTCAAAACGCAGTCAGTTGTCGTAGATCAGAGGCCACACTCATCACAGCAGAGAGGCAGGACCAGCTGCAACGGGGTCCTTCTGTGACGCCCACTGCATTCCCAGCTGTGTGAAGCGACTCAGCTGACAGGTCTCACAGATCATCATCATACACTGAAACCGCGTGGGGAAAATGTAAGTTCTCCTTGTGTCCATCAGCAGCAACTCTCAGATTCACCTCTGTCCTTCACCCCTTCTCCTTGAAACAACTTTATAGAGCTTTACTTGGACCTATGTTTCTATTTATTTTTATTTTACTAACTATTGAAAAGACATATATTGTGTGTATGTGTGATTCTGTCTCTATCAGTCAGGATAATCCTGGTTAAATTTCTATTATTATTATTATTGCCAACATCATTTAGTTTTTTTAAGCTTTTCAATTCCTGAGGATATTGATCAGGGTCTTTCTGTCTTGTGAGACAGAAAACAAATCCCAACTGTGTAGGAGGAAAGAGAAAGCATTGATACCGAGGACTGAGACACTCCCAGGCTTAGCTTGCTTGGTGTACAGCTACATCTACAGTTTCAGGTGCCCTCCTGTGACTCTCTCTCTCTCCTTCCCAACTTTGGCTCCATGTTTAGCTCCAAGAACCTCAGACGTAACGGCATCACTGACTCCTCCCAAGGATTCCAGCTAACCTACCCTTACTCTACAACAGCAGCACTGGATTCTCTGGAATCTCGGACTCTAACTAAAGCAAAAGCCGCTCCTCCTCCCTCAAACTAAAGTAAGAACCACTCCTGTCCTGGTCCCCAGCT